TCAAAAATTTAAAAGCCATTTGATTGATGTATCTCGATGAGGACTATCGCCTCTGAGTTTTGTGCGGCGATCGGCCGGGCCGTTTCTTTGTAAATTGCAGAAAAGTGAAAAATTTTTCGTCCACGTTTTAGCCCGCAATTCTGAATCGATTCTGAAAATTCAAAAACCGTTCGATAGATATTGGTTGGGAATCGTGCTGATTAGTTTTTGGTAAAGATCGGCCGGGCCGTTTTCTTGTAATAAAGTTTTTAAAAAAAAAATTTTGACGATTTTTATGATTATTTTTTTGACGATAGATACCATAGTTTTCTAGGTCATACTAAAATATTACGGCCCTACGACAACTGGTTCAGCTTTAAAAATTCGTCAAAGTTTGCAAAAATCAGTATGGTCTTTTTGGCATTTGTCAAAATTAGACTTTTGATCGACGTTTTCTCAAAAACGCCTGAACCGATTTTAGAAATTTAAAAGCCATTTGATGTATTTCGGTGAGGACTATCGTTTGTCAGTTTTGTGCAACGATCTGCCAAGCCGTTTCTTTGTAATTTGAAAAAAAGTGTTGAACTTTTCGTCCACATTTAAGCTCATCTTACCGAACCGATTTTAAAAAATCAAAAACTGTTCGAAAGTTATTAGTTGGGAATGATGCTGATTAATTTTAGGTGAAAATTTACCGAGCCGTTTTCTTGTAATTAACTGTTGAAAAAAAGTGTTAAATTTTCGTCCACATTTAAGCTCATCCTACCGAACCGATTTTAAAAAATCAAAAACTGTTCGAAAGATATCATTTGGAAATGATGCTGATTAATTTTAGGTGAAAATCTACCGAGCCGTTTTCTTGTAATTAACTGTTGAAAAAAAGTGTTAAATTTTCGTCCACATTTAAGCTCATTCTACCGAACCGATTTTAAAAAATCAAAAACTGTTCGAAAGATATCATTTGGGAATGATGCTGATTAATTTTAGGTGAAAATCTACCGAGCCGTTTTCTTGTAATTAACTGTTGAAAAAAAGTGTTAAATTTTCGTCCACATTTAAGCTCATCCTACCGAACCGATTTTGAAAAATCAAAAACTGTTCAAAAGATATCATTTGGGAATGATGCTGATTAATTTTAGGTGAAAATCTACCGAGCCGTTTTCTTGTAATTAAATGTTGAAAAAAAGTGTTAAATTTTCGTCCACATTTAAGCTCATCCTACCGAACCGATTTTGAAAAATCAAAAACTGTTCGAAAGATATTAGTTGGGAATGATGCTGATTAATTTTAGGTGAAAATCTACCGAGCCGTTTTCTTGTAATTAAATGTTGAAAAAAAGTGTCAAATTTTCGTCCACATTTAAGCTCATCCTACCGAACCGATTTTGAAAAATCAAAAACTGTTCGAAAGATATTAGATGGGAATAGTACTGATTAATTTTAGGTGAAAATCTACCGAGCCGTTTTCTTGTAATTAACTGTTAAAAAAAATTTAAGCCGATTTTCATGGAACTTTTTTTGGCGATATACATCATGGTCTTACAGAACTTACTGCAATATTACGGCCTTACAACAAGTAGTTTAATTTTAAAAATTCGTCAAACTTTGCTAAAATTATTATCGTTTTTTTTTTAAAGTAGGATTGATGAAGTATATTATTTACACATTTTTTTGATCAAGTCGATTATTTACACATATCGGGAAGTTCATGTAATTTGCCTCAAGGCTAAATACCAAACCAACTAGTTTTATTTAATTTTGGATATATTTGGCTACTAGATTATTTTTCTTCGAAGATCAATACCGAATGTTAAATAAAATGATATCTATAATTCAGTCACAGAAGGAATTTTGACACATTTAATAATTTTGAGATATTTAGAAAAGGTGCTATCACAATAAATAGTATTAACTTGAAGATTCTTCATCGCCATGCATAATTAATCAGAAACATAGTTTTAATTTGTACGGATTTCTTAATCATGGATCAAATGGTATAACTGACCTTAGTTTAGTCGAAAAAGGAAGTGACATCACAATAAATAATATTCGCTCAAAGGTCCAAATCAAGAGGATTGTTTTAATTTGTACGCAAATTGTAACCATGCATAAAATGCTATAATCTATTGGCAAACGAAGATATTTCAATAGTTATATAAATTATTCAAGGTCGTGAAGATTGATTTGTCCAATTCAATTGTGATTATAAAATCTTGGGACCTTCGACTGACTTAACTGATATCTGATAAAAGTTCTTCCCAATATTTACCAAATCACTCATGTATATGTATCTACTAAGTTTGTTAAATATTGATATAAAAAGGAAATTGAAACATGGTATGCAGCCTGGATATTATATAAAGAAAAAGTAATATAGAGTAAAATCGATATTAAAAATTGGTATTGATATTTGCAAATATTAAGAAATTCTTGAAGAGAATAATCAGTTTTTAATGCAATAGGCTATATTTAACCAATTTTAAATATTCAACGATCAGCACATGTAACTTATAGGATAAACTTGTAAGATATAATAAAATTTTCTTTGTTCTTCACTAACTTACAATTGGAAAACTACAAACGCTTGAATACATTTCTACAATACATTCAATGTGATAACTTTAAAATGAATGTAAAATTATATGAATCATTAATAATATAATTATAGTTACTAATAGCACATACTATCGCTATAATAAAAGTAAAACATGTTTCTTATAATTTTAGTTCCATTTTTTATTTTGCCATTATATTAACCCTCTCCGTCGGTCGGATATTTTTTCACCTTCGAACGGTCGGAAAGGTCTGGCTGGACCACCATTCATTTTACATGCATTTATATGGGATAAATGAGTTTTTGGTGTCTTATGTATTAACGATTATATAAAAAAATCAAGAAATATAAAAAAATCGTTGCTTTTTGTTAATTTTTCTGTTTTAAATCAATGAAAAACAATATTTATTCTTTTTCGGCGCCTTTGAAATGAATGTGTGCATTACTCATCCGATTTTCAGTGTTTGCAATTACCAATAAGTTTGGTAGGTTTTCAAGGAACTCTCGTCATGAAAATACTAAACATTCATGTTACAACACATAGCAAAGAATATATACAACGCAGTTTGAATAGAAAATACCACGAAAAAAGACAAAATACTGGTTTGCATATATCAAACAGCGTATATTTCATACAAAATGTATGGGTGGTCTGGACAGACCTTTCCGACCGTTCGAAGTATAAAAAATTAATATCCTTATAATTATCCTTCTGTACATTTTTTCGTCCTGATTTTTTCATTGATCGACAGCTAATGAAATTTTAGGAAAAGTCGAGAAATTTCAAGTCGATAGGATTACTAGAAGTATTTTTTTTATTTAATTGAAGCCGAAAAAAGTCTGGCCAGACCACGCCGACCGACGGAGGGTTAAAGCTATACATATTTAACGTTGCATAAGATTTATTTTTGAACATACAAGAGACTGCGCATTTTGTAATTGGTTAAGTTTTTATTTCTTTACTAGAAACGAAAATACTTCATTTATATTTTTTTAGTTGCATATACGTTTCAATGTTTGTAATGCTCAAATTTTCGATCCATATTTTATCTAAGTATGCTTTTTCATGTCGTTGCTTGTACCATGTAAACTCAAGTTGAATATTTTATATTTTATATATACGATTTTTAAATTTCGGAAAAAGGAATGTCTTCCACATGTGCACCACTTTTTTTTTCAATTTCATGCGAACTTTTGTATAAAAAATGTTTCTTTAATTTCACTATTGAATTCTTGGATAAAAAATCGGAGTCTTTCATGCGCTCTAAGTCACACTATTATATCTTGTATCTTGAAACGTCGTGGATTTAAGGATCTAGAAAATGCAAGGCGACAGAGTTTAGATTTTTCATGCTATATGCAAGGTATCACATTTACTTTTTCGAGGGAGCATATATCCGAAATCACAGCCATATTATAATTTCAACGATTTGATTACTAAATGTATTATGATAAATATAAATAATTTTGTAATTGGCATTGAAATGCTCTTAAACTTTGTAAAAAAAATCATAATCATAGCCATAATAATCTATCAAATTGTATAAAAAATGCTATATGTCTAATATATGTAAAAAAAATATAAAATTTCATAAAAAATATCCAAAAAATAATCATCTGAAATATATATATATATTTATATATATATATATATATATATATATATATATATATATATATATATATATGTTGTATGATTCTGAATTTGATGTCGACATATGTGTTAGATGCTTAACTTTAACATTCACTCAGTATTTATCACATAGATCAAATACCTCACTCAGGCTAACTGAAATTAAATCACACGTTAATATAATACAAACATATAATGATAACAACCAAATATAATTAGTCAGGATATATATTTATTACCATAGGTGTTTACGCCTCTGAGTCTAGTTAAGTAAGACCGAATATTTATTTATTTATTTACATGACAATCAAAACAACATGGCGACTTATATGAAGTATGTACAAGATACAGCATAGACTTAATGTTGGTATCTATGCTGGCGCGAATATTCAAAGTTGCTAACATTCGGCCATCCTATAATTACTCGTCCTCGAGTAAATAATCTTGCAATCTGGCTGGCTTATGGCTGTGACATTGGGGACGGCTCCTGGGTTTCTTCGGTCCAGTGTCCTCTTCTCCCAGTCCTGTGTCCTCTTCTTCCGATCCACTGCCTTCTTCTCCCAGTCCAGTATGATCTTCTCCTAGTCCAGAGTCCTCTTCTCCCAATCCGGTGTGATCTTCTCCCAGTCCAGAGTCTTCTTCGCTAATCTTCTGCTCCTTCAGGGTCTTCCTCCAGTCCGCTGGTATCTGTCGCCAGTCTGTTGGGGTCCTCTTCCATCTGGTTTGTTTCTCTAGGTTGTGATTTTTCTCAATCATTGCCTTTTTGCATGGCAATTTCTCTAAATTTCGATGAGATTGTTCCCACTTCGCTCTCATCTGCATGATTTGCATTCTTTCATGCCTCAGCGCAATCCTTTCCTGGTCCATTGTCGTCCTGTCCCGTTCCAGTGTCATACTCCTGCGGTCCAGTGCCTTCCTCGCCTGGTCCAGTTTTGCCATCTCTAGGTCCTGTACCTTTCTCTCCTGGTCCAGTGTTGCCTTCTCTAGGTCCAGCTTTGCCCTCTCTAGGTCCATCGCCTTCCTTTCCTGGTCCAGTTTTGCTCTCTCCAGGTCCAGTGCTTTTCTCTCCTGGTCCAGCGCTGCTTTCTCTAGGTCCAGTGTTGTCCGCTCTAGGTCCAGTGCCTTCCTCGCCTGGTCCAGTTTTACCTCGTCCTGGTCCAGTGCTGCATGGTCCTGGTACAACTCCGTGTTATCATTTGACCTAAAATTATTAAAACAAGGAATTAGTTTATTTGTTCCTTCGGGTAGATTTGTCAACGTTTCGGGTTTCTGTTCCACATCTTCTATGTCCACAATTGGTTTGACTTCGTTCTGCTTGAACATTAATATACCATCCTCTGTGGTATAATATATATGTGGCAACTCTGTAAATGTGCGCCCGATTATCACGTCAATGTCCTGTGCATCATCTGGCACCACTCTGACATAAACATTATTAGCCTTTATTCTATCTACCTCCATCGTAACGATTATGGCTGCGGGTGACTCCAATTTAAAATTCTTTGGTCCCCAGCTCTTTTATTACCATCGGTTTATGCACCTTCCGATATTTTCCTTCATTCAGTAATGAAGCCTTTATTGTACATATGGAACTTCCTGCGTCCACCATAGCCCTGAATTCTTTGCCATCTATGGTGACACGTTTCATATATTTTTCTGATGTCTGATCCTCTTTATCAGTAATCCATTTCACTTCACCACTAGGATTTTTAGTGTCAGGTTCAGTTTTATTCTTATTCCGTTCTGGGCAATCCTGAATAAAGTGTCCTACTTTCCTGCATTGGTAGCACTTCACTATTCTTTTCCAGATTGTTGAATATCTTCTCCAACCTCACTCTTTACTTTCGTGGTATTCCATGACTGACTGCTCTCACCCGACTCGAACTTTAAATCATTTAAGGCACTTTCGTGAGTTAAAATACTAGTACCCAGTTCATCATAATCGGTGTGCTTCTCAGCAGCTAAAATGACATACAGCTGTTTGTCTAGCAGTCCGTTCAGTACTTGTTGTTTTGTTTCCTCAAAACTCATGTGTAATGCCTGGCACAATTTTGTTTTGGAATGAAAATACGCATTGGCATCCTCAGACTTCAGCTGCTTCCGCTTTCTCATCCTTTCCCATTTAGCGGTTAGATTCTCTCCGCTTAGGATGAAAGCTTTCCTGAAATGCTTTTTGAAATCATCCCAAGATTTCAGGTTCTGCTGCTTCATGTCATACCAATCACGGCCACCATTAATCAGTAGGCTCCGCGCATGTTCCAAAATGATGTTGTCCGGCCAGTTTCGCATAGTCTTGGTGCTGTCTATTTTTCAAGCCACTCCTCTGCGGATACACCACCTTTTCCACCATTGAAATACCCTATGGTCTTTGTGAAGTCTGCCTCCGCGTGGAAAATAACTTTTGGCTCTTCAGTACGTTTCAATAACACTGCTATCATCTCTAACATCACATCCTCACGTGTTCGGCCGGTACTCGATCCCGCGGCGTTTATGGCACTCTGGAACATCTCGAACGCGTCTGTCTGCCTCTCCATTTTAATAGGATCTGAAACACAACAAACTACAAAATGTTCACAATCACAATCGCCTCCCACGATCAAAGTTACACGCACTATTCAAAATCGACACACGATTTCGACACAGTACACCCGACGCTAACCTCAAACACGTGTCTCGTTTGACACAACAAGACTTTTCTGAAAGAGAAACTCGTTAATAAACCTGAAACCAAAACGTTATTAGAACAACACAAACATTCACACTGTGGGGTTAATTCATTCGCACTTCTGAATTGTTAGATGCTTAACTTTAACATTCACTCAGTATTTATCACACAGATCAAATACCTCAACTCTGGCTAACTGAAATTAAATCACAAGTTAATATAATACACGCATATAATGATAACAACCAATAATATTTAGTCAGGATATATATTTATTACCATTTAGATGTTTACGCCTCCGAGTCTAGTTAAGTAAGACCGAATATTTATTTATTTATTTACATGACAATCAAAACAACATGGCGACTTATATGAAGTATGTACAAGATACAGCATAGACTTAATGTTGGTATCTATGCTGGCGCGAATATTCAAAGTTGCTAACATACTGTTCAAATACAGTAGAAAATATGCCCCAACTAACAAAGCACAACTAGTGGGGTAGTTGTCCATTATATACATTTTTGAACTGAAGAAAATAATGGGAAATCATTATCGACAGTCTTCACTGATTTTGTAATTTATATTGTCAATTCCATACAATGCAACGATATGTTGATCACAATTTTATTAGGATTCAGTAAATGAATCCACATTTGTTGGCTGCTAAAACCACAATAGCAGCGGTTCGTGCAAACAAACAATATGCTGGAATAAACAACAGGGCGCTAATTCATACTCGATGTTATCGATTCGGTAATCAGAACGTGGAAACGCCACATGTGCTTCAAAGCATTATCAATATATGTACATATAGATTCTTTCACGATTAGAAGTGATAATAGGTAATAAATCACATATAATATGTGCATATTTATGCTAAGTATTATATGAATCAGTATTTTTAAATCAATTTTTTATTAATTAAAATTACTGACCTTTAGCAAAATCTTTATTATTCGATAATATTTTGCATTATATCTTATATTTTTCGATCATTTTTCTCATATATAATGTATTGTTTCATATAAGCATACTCAGATATTTGATGGGTAGTTGTAATAAAAAACTCGGGACGGCCCCTGCTTATGTATGGTCACCTTATTATTATTATCTACTAATGCGCTGTACTGTTTTTCTCAAACCACCGCCTATGCAGATCCCGTATTCCCTATAATAATTCCTTATAATATATATAATAGGTATATATGTGCATGAAGCATTGAATTTATATAATTACTTGATCAAAATAATTATACAATTACTTCATTAAAAAACAAGTATATATTTACCGAATCGGATAAATTATTTTTATCTAATTTTAACTTAATTTCAATCTCATCTCTTTAATGGGCATGAGGATGTTCGTTTTCTCGGCGTTTCAAGCAATGCAATTTTTTTATACAAAACTTTATATCAGTAAAGTGTCTAAACTGAAACAATATAAGAACGTTTTCTAGAGTTTGATCTATAACCATTTCCCTAGTCGATGTTAGGATGTTAGGATTATATTGTAAGTAAGATGGTGTAGTTAAAAGTTCATAAATTGAAAGTTACATCAATTTTTGCAGAAATATTGTTACAAGATCTCATAACTTATTCGAGTCTTGGAAATATTGCGAGTTGTATCATTTTCGTAATAGTTATAAAAATATGAATTTATAGATATTTTCATATTTTCTTGCATTCATCACCTTCTTTATCATAATTTTAATATACATTATATATATATATATATATATATATATATATACATGTAACATATAATATATATGTATATATATAACATATAATATATAATATATATATATATATATATATATATATATTATTCTTGGGTCGAAATTTTAAAGCTCAAAGCACTAAGCATTCTAATTTTCAATAAATTAGGAAAATAGTTTGGTCAGTAGTTACTTTCAATTACTTTTAATAGATAGATTAATGACCGATTCTGCCGCACAACAAGCCAGTGCTACTGCAAGGCTATGTTTTGAAGAACTTTCCATACTAAACAATGACAAAAGCCATGTGGTTGCTGTCCAGTTGCTGCGTTTTTCTCAGGTTGTCAGATAGAAAACCTAATCTAGAAACCGCACAAATGTCGAATAGACTATCCTAGATAACAGGGTCTTTCTGACCCAGCTTCATAACATGTAAGTGACGTCGAGGTTTATGTGCCTGAATGCACAGCAAATACATGACATTTTGACAGTATTCCGTTATGATTTAATGCTTAATGATGTATGGACGTTGGAGCCTTGCCATAACATTGGTCTGTTGTTCGGCGGAATCGGCCCATAAATATATATATTCTTATGTTTTTGGAACGATAAAAAATAGAGTAGCAAATTGGTTAAACGTATTTGATTGATCATATTTTGGTAAATTTGCCTAGAATTTGGGACATATTTTGAAATATTATCTCAACATCATTCGAATATCGCTAAAAACGTGTTTTTATAAAAGTAATACTACTATATAATAGTCTTCTTTGCTAACTTCCCGTAGGATAAGTTATAGTAATTGCAAACGAAAATTAATATTTTTATATATCTTTACGTTTCAAAGGTTTCTCAACATTTTGACATGCCTTAGAGAAAGTGGATGTATGTGTGTGTGCTGTTACAAATTTTTGTCGACGATTTCGGGAACACGGATCAAGTCAACCTATTTGAATAAATCAACCATACAACTTTCCAAGAAAGTATAACTTTTTGAAAAATTTCAAAATTCAAAAATAAAATCTATTTTATCCAAACTTTCAAAAGCTTTTAAGGTTTTTACAAAAATTTAATTTATGGTACGCGAAGTTCCAGCAATATTTCTTAAGGCGCTAGTTTAACAAGGAATCGATTGAAATGATTCAATAACAATAAATATAAACTTCGAATCAATAGTTTTATAAAAACATAAAAAGAAGGTCCTATCATATAATTTCGTTGTGGTAAAGATTATAATTTGTAATATGAGTTTATAAACAAATGATGAATAAATTTCTCCTTTCAAGTGCAGATTCAGATCGTATATTAGCTAGTTGCGAGCGCCCATCGCGCTCAGATAACATAAACAGTTAGGAAGAGTTTTGGCTTTTGTAACGTTGCCTCTTACGTTCGCTTTGCCGAGGGGATGAAGTGTTACACTTGGCCATATTACAATAGATGTGACTCAGCAGGGTGCAAAAAGATTACACTTTAAGAAAAGTCTGTTAAAGATGATAATATGTTGAAATTTAATTTGCAGTAATGATCTTGCCTATATATACTTATTATAAAAATATTACCAATATTAATAAAATCTGTCTTACTGATAAAATGTTAAACTAATTAAGTATGAACTTGCCGATTTTATAATATTATTGTAAAAAAAAGTATATATGGTGCGCTATATAATTAGATACAATCCAATCAAATAAAAATGTAAATTAACTATAGAAGGTAAATGACTAATGTACGTGTATACAAAGTCAAAAAAAAAAAAAAAAAAATGAAAAGTTACAGTAGCTTATAGTAACTTTGCACCTGACGTAATATGCGTATGACATCTAGCCATAATTATAAAAACGACAAAGCAAAACTATGCAATCGGATCGTCGAATCGAACTGCACGAATGAAAAAAAAATGTTTTAAAAATAAAAATTTTCTGACCATTGTCAGAATTTTGAAAATTAACGTATATTAACATAACATGAATTTCTTTTGCAATCTTGCGTCTGGGTTTGTATGATCCTCGAGGCGGCTTTTGTAATTATTTTTATGCATTTTATCGTTTATTGTGTTCTATATCTGAGTCTTATCA